ACTCAGCAGAGTCTGTGTGTGTGTACGGACTCAGCAGAGTCTGTATGTGTGTGCGGACTCAGCAGAGTCTGTGTGTACGGACTCAGCAGAGTCTGTGTGTGTGTACGGACTCAGCAGAGCCTGTGTGTGTGTACGGACTCAGCAGAGTCTGTGTGTGTGTGTATGGACTCAGCAGAGTCTGTGTGTGTGTATGGACTCAGCAGCCTGTGTGTGTGTATGGACTCAGCAGCCTGTGTGTGTATGTACTCAGCAATCTGTATGTGTACGGACTCAGCAGTCTGTGTGTGTACGGACTCAGCAGTCTGTGTGTGTGTGGACTCAGCAGTCTGTGTGTGTGTATGGACTCAGCAGAGTCTGTGTGTGTGTATGGACTCAGCAGAGTCTGTGTGTGTATGGACTCAGCAGTCTGTGTGTGTTTGTGTGTATGGACTCAGCAGAGTGTGTGTGTTTGTGTGTGTGTATGGACTCAAGCAGTCTGTGTGTGTTTGTGTGTATGGACTCAGCAGAGTGTGTGTGTTTGTGTGTATGGACTCAGCAGAGTGTGTGTGTGTATGGACTCGGCAGTCTGTGTGTGCATGGACTCAGCAGTCTGTGTGTGTGTGTATATGTGTGTATGGACTCAGCAGTCTGTGTGTGTGTGTGTGTATAGACTCAGCAGTCTGTGTGTAGGTGTATGGACTCAGCAGAGTCTACACTGTGCAGAGTCTGTGTGTGTGTGTACGGACTCAGCAGAGTCTGTGTGTACGGACTCAGCAGAGTCTGTGTGTGTGTACGGACTCAGCAGAGCCTGTGTGTGTGTACGGACTCAGCAGAGCGTGTGTGTGTGTACGGACTCAGCAGAGTCTGTGTGTGTGTGTACGGACTCAGCAGAGTCTGTGTGTGTGTATGGACTCAGCAGTCTGTGTGTGTGTGTGTATGGACTCAGCAGCCTGTGTGTGTATGTACTCAGCAATCTGTATGTGTACGGACTCAGCAATCTGTGTGTGTATGGACTCAGCAGTCTGTGTGTGTGTATGGACTCAGCAGTCTGTGTGTGGGGACTCAGCAGAGTGTGTGTGTTTGTGTACTCAGCAGTCTTTGTGTGTTTGTGTACTCAGCAGTCTTTGTGTGTTTGTGTACTCAGCAGTCTTTGTGTGTGTGTGTGGACTCAGCAGTCTGTGTGTGTGTGGACTCAGCAGTCTGTGTGTGTGTATGGATTCAGCAGAGTCTGTGTGTTTGTGTGTGTATGGACTTAGCAGTCTGTGTGTGTGTATGTGTGTATGGACTCAGCAGAGTGTGTGTGTGTGTATGGACTCAGCAGTCGGTGTGTGTACGGACTCAGCAGAGTCTGTGTGTGTGTATGGACTCAGCAGAGTCTGTGTGTGTGTATGGACTCAGCAGAGTCTGTGTGTGTGTATGGACTCAGCAATCTGTGTGCGTGTGTGTGTGTGTGTATGGACTCAGCAATTTGTGTGTGTGTGTATGGACTCAGCAATCTGAGTGTGTGTGTGTGTATGGACTCAGCAGTCTGTGTGTGTGTATGGACTCAGCAGTCTGTGTGTGTATGGACTCCGCAGTCTGTGTGTGTGTATGGACTCAGCAGTCTGTGTGTGTATGGACTCCGCAGTCAATAATTAAAATTCCTGTGAGTTGTGTAGGAAGGGCCCCAGTGTATTGCTTTGCCCAGGGGCCCTTAACTCTGTTAAAATGGTACTGCTTGTGTGTGTCAGTGAGCTTCTATTTAGTGAGCATGTGTGTGTCATTTTGACTTGTAGGAATGGCATACATTTTTTTTCCAGGGCTGCTTTGGATTCCCAGGGATTCCCAGTTTGGCTCTGCCAGCGAGTGCACTTTACCGCTGAATAACCTGTGTGAGCTGCCGCACACTTTAGCCCTGTTACACGCGTCTGGGAGCTGCTGTTGACAGGTACAAGTAGTCTAGAGATTGGGGTATATGCTCAGCTATCTGTATAATACAGATCTGTGTGTATAAAATATCCCGGGATAGTCAGTGCTTCCTGTATAGTGCTGCTCTCTGTCTTGGGATTATACAGAGAGCAGCACTATACAGGGAGCACTGAGTGTCCCAATTTATTATACACACAACCCTGTATTATACAGAGAGCACTGACTGTCCAGGGATATTATACCCAGACAGTAATTGATAGCTGTGCTGCAAAATGTCCTTGGAAATTTTTTTTCAAATGTTGGCAACTATGGCACTGTATCAAGGGTAATGTGTTTGTTTTTTTAATAATCTCTGGTGGAAAATCATGATTCCTCCACCAGGTATTATTAAAAAAACAAAACACATTGTGTCGGGGGCGTGGCTTAACATGTGACAGGGGCGGGGTCAAACTGCGGCGAGGGCGGGGTTAAATGTGCCCCCCTACTTTTGTCACTGGCCCTCCATGTGCCCCCCCGAAAAATGAATCCTAGAGACGCCACTGAGTGTGGCAGGGTACATTATCTTGCTGAAATAGGCCAATGCTATCATGGAACATCATTACTATGAATGGCTATATGCAGGGGCGTACCTAGAGCATTTGGCACCCGGGGCGGACCCAGAGTGTGGCACCCCCACCCCCCATAATAAAAATGTAAGAAAACACCCACAATTTTTTCAATAATATTTATTTCACAAATTTGTAAACTGTATATCAACTTGAAAAAAATGGAACTGTGAAAAATAAATGAACTTATAAATAAATAAAATTTAAATAATTAACATTTACTTAACAGTTAATACGCTTTCTATAAACAAAAAAACACACAGATCCAAAGTGACCACTCAGTCTATTCGGCAGAGGTAATGTGCAATGATTCACATCCGCTGCCTTTGAGCCTTCATTTCTGCAAATTTATCAATTACTTCATCAAAGCCAATCTTCCTTGCATATTCATGCTCAATTGAAAGTATAGCCAGATTTGTCAACCTTGTCTCACTCATGGTTGAGCGAAAGAATTTTTTTATCAATTTTAATTTGGAAAAACTTCTTTCAGATGAAGCAATAGACACACAGAGAGTCAAAAAGAATCTTTGGCAGAGATTCACAATAATCCCATTTAACAATGAACTCCAGGAACTGCAATGCCATCCGTTTCTTTGCTTCTTCAACACTGATCTTGGCAGCTTCCAAATGCCTCCGAAGACGTTCAATTTCCCTAAAGATGTCTTCATTAGAGAATTCGTCAAAAATCTCAGTCAATTTTGGAGTATAATTACGAATATCTTTCTCTGTTGCCACAACCAGAGAGCTTGGCTGAATAACAGCAAACATTGAAAGGATTTTTTCAATTGCCTGAGAACGAATTTCCAACTCGTGATGAAAACGATCAAGGCACTTAAACATAGCCCTTTTCATTTCCTCTGGCAATGTGAGACCAGCGTCCTTTGCCTTCTCTCCTGGCATTGTTTTATGGAGCTTTACTCTCCCTCTTCTTTCCATTGAAATGTCCATTTCTTTACACATAGTAGTTGCATAACAAATGGCCTTCTCCACAATTTCACTGCGCTGATGTGCTAGAAACGCTTTCAAACCTTGTAGTTTCACAATGCACTTTTCAAGAGTGAGTCCCACAGTTTGCAAATATTTCTGTGTTATATTAACTTCTTCTAGAACTTCACACCAGAAAGAAAGGTAACACAAAAAAGAAAAATCACATACGGCAGACTGCAACATCTGAGCCGATCCTCTTGTGTCCACATTTTCTTTGGGATTACATAATTTTTCAAGGGCTGAAGTCAGTTTTTCAAAATTTGCCCTCACTGGCTTCACAGCATCATAATGAGCGCTCCATCTTGTTTGGGAAAGTCTTTTCACTGTCACACCTACATTTTCCATCAGCAATTCCCAACGATGTGTAGAAACCGAAAAAAAGGAATACACTCTCTCCAATGTTCCAAAAAAGGTCACACAGGAAACAACACTTTCAAATGAGTGCAACCCACATAGGTTCAGGGAATGGTTAGCACATGGCATAAACAAAGCCTTGGGATTAATCTCTTTTATTTTTGCCTGAACACCACCATGAATCCCTGCCATAGTTGCAGCATTATCATATCCTTGACCACGGCAAGGATAGTCCATCTTCCTCCAGATGTTGCAGGATATTTTCTGTGAGCTCAGCAGCAGTCTTTTCAGCAACAGGAAAGAACCCCAATAATCATTCCTTTACTTCAACATGGTCCCCTTCAATATGAAGATATCTGATCACTTCACACATCTGATCAGTGTGGGACACATCAGGGGTGCTGTCAAAAAGAATCCCAAAGTACTTTGCATTCTTGATATCAGCCACTATTTTGTCCTTCACATGATTTCCCAAAAGACAAATTAATTCGTTCTGAATTTTTGGAGAGAAATAGGAAGTCATTCTCTTTCCAGATGCAACAGCATGTTTCAGCCTCATGAAATGTTCCTTTAAAATGGGATCATAGTTTGAGAGCAATTCTACCAATTCGAGGAAGTTGCCTTTGTTTGCGGATGACATGGTCTCTCTATGGCCACGAAAGGGAAGATTCTGGTGAGCCAGAAACAAAGTTACATCCAAAAGGCGATGCAAAATATCCCTCCATTTCCTTTTCTCTCTGTCCACTGCTGTTTGATGGACATGATCAATGCATTTTTGTAGCTTCAATCCTGCTCTCAAGGTCTTCCATTTCTCCAAGCATGTAAGATGCTGCTCAGAAGCCTCATGATCAGACACCTTTGGGTTCAGCTTCCACCACAATTGAAACCCAGTAACAAAACTGGATGCCCCTGTTACTTTGTCATCAACAGCAAAAAGTCTGCAGCAAAAACAAAACAATCTTTGTTTTGATGGAGAGTACACCATCCACGTTCTAAGAATTTTTTTGCCATTAGGCAGAGCCTTATAGAACCATGCAGTGGTCAACTGTCCAACTGTCCCCTCTCAAAATATTGTAAAGCACTACGGAATCTGTTGGCGCTATATAAATGATAATAATAATAATAACTGAGGACTCTTCCCTTTTGATTTCTCTCCTTGCCTTTCAACAGGACTGAATGGCCCATCTCTATTTTGGAAAGGTTCACTTCCCCTCTTAATAAGGTCCACTCTTAAAACATCTGGAACTGGAACTGGCCAAGCAGCAACATCAGAATAAACTGACAGTCGAACAGTCTCCTCTTCTTCATCATCAACATCATCATCAGAGTCTTGCTGATGCAGGCTTCTGCTGGCATCGCCTTCATCTACATCACTTTCACCGGTTGAAGATAAAATGATCTTCTCCAATTCTTGCGCTTTCCCATATGAAGCTTCTTGAGAAGATACTTCAGGCATTTCACCTCTGGATTCAAGACTGAACGTCTTCAGCGCTTTCTCCTACTGCGGTAGATGTTGAAGGTGCAACATATTTTAAAATTGATCCAGACATCGCCTCAGCTGACTTTTCTTTTGCCTTCTTAATTTTTCGTTGCTGAGACCCGCTTGGTCGATTTTGCTTCATATTGGTGTTTTCTGCAGAAAAATACTAAATTTATTTTGGCTCTAGGGTTCGCTAATGCGATATCTGTCTTATATTTCCCATCTTGGCATACCATTTGTAAAAGTAGACAACCCAGGGTATTTAAAGGGACACTATAGTCATCCAGACCACTTCTGCTCAATGAAGTGGTCTGGGTGCCAGCTCCCCCAGATTTTAACCCTCCAGATGCAAAAATCGCATCCAGCTTGCAGAACGTTGAGAATGCGCGCGCGGCTCTTGCCTCGCATGTGCATTCGGCTCCACTCGGGAGCTGATGATGGCGGGGGAGGAGAGTTCACCAGGGCCGAGGGAGCCCGGCACTGGATTAAGATAAATGGCTGAAGGGGTTTTAACCCCTTTAAACCCATTCAGCCACTTACCTTTCTCCAGCGTCGGGCTCCCTCTGCGCTGGTGACCTCTCCACCCCCTGCCGACAGCAGATCCGAATGCACATGCGCGGCAAGAGCCGTGTGCGCATTCAAACTGCCCTTAGGAAAGCATTACTCAGTGCTTTCCTATGGACGTCCAGCATCTTCTCACAGTGAGTTTTCAGTGAGAATTGCGGAAGCGCCTCTAGCGGCTGTCAGTGAGACAGCCACTAGAGGCTGGATTAACCCTTAGTGAAACATCTCTGAAACTGCTATGTTTTCAGCTGTAGGGTTAAAACTAGACCACTTCATTGAGCCGATCCTTAGAAACAGCATAGGAAAAGGATTTGGGTTCAAAAGATGTAGCAGCTAGGGCAGAGGTTTTGTATAAGGGGGCCAGGGCAGAAGTTTTGTATAAATGTGCCAGTTTTGTAGAAGGGGGAAGACCAGTGCTTTTGTAGAAAGGGGCAAGTGAGAAACTTCTAGAAAACTCCTGCTCTGCCCCTTTCTACAAAGCCCCTTGTCTCGCCCCTTCTAGAAAACCCCTGCCCTTCGGCCTTCATATAAAAACCCTGCACACTGACCACACTGACCACATACATTTCATACACTCCATACACATAAAAACCCTGCACACCCCCTTAATTAAAAAAAAAAAATGCACATCCCCTTAATAAAAAACAGAAACCATGCACAACCCCCTTAATAAAAAACACTGCACACCCACCTTAATAAAATAAACAAAAACTTGCACAACCCCCTTTGATAACAAAAAACCTGCACACACCCCTTAAAATCCTGCACACCCCCTTATTAAAAAAAAACTTGCACAACCCCCTTTAATAACAAAAAACCTGCACAACCCCCTTAAAATCCTGCACACCCCCTTCACAAAAATCTGCAGTGCACATCCTCCCTTAATAAATAAAATACTGCAACCCCATTAATTAAAAAAAACCTGCACCCCCATTAATTAAACCTTCCCGCGCTGCACCCCCTTTAATTAATCCACACCCCCTTTAATTAATCCACACTAATTAATCCACACCCCCTTAATTAATCCACCCCCTTAATTGATACACACACCCTTAATTAATCCACACTAATTAATCCACCCCCTAATTAATACCTCCCCATAATTAATACAGCCCCCCATAATTAATATACACCCCCCTAATTAATCCACCCCCCTTAATTAATACACCCCCACAATTAATCCACCCCCCCAATTAATACACCCCCATAATTAATCCACCCCCCATAATTAATCCACCCTCCATAATTAATCCACCCCTATAATTAATTCACCCCCCATAATTAATCCACCCCTATAATTAATTCACCCCCATAATTAATTCACCCCCTATAATTAATATACACCACCCCCATAATTAATACACCCCATAATTAATATACACCCCCCATAATTAATACTCCCCAATAATACCCCCCATAATTAATATACACACCCCCATAATTAATACACACCCCATAATTAATATACACCCCATAATTAATCCACCTCCCATAATTAATACTTCACCCATAATTAATATACACCTCCATAATTAATATGCCCCATAATTAATCAACCCCCATAATTAATCCACCCCTCCATAATTAATATACACCCCCCCCATAATTAATATACACCCCAAAATTAATACACTCCACCATAATTAATATACACCCCATAGTGTAATCCATACCCCATAATTAATATACACCCCCATAATTAATCCACCCCCATAATTAATCCACCCCCATAATTAATATACACCCCATAATTAATATACACCCATCAATTAAGCCTTACACTTACCTACTCAAATATACACACATGAAATTGTGCCACCCCAATCCCGTCTACCCATATTGTGTGCTACTTTGCAAGTGGCCTTACCAGTTGACAGCGCTGGTGGCAGGCTTTTGCAATTGACGCGCGCCCCCATAATTAAGCCACCCCCCACCAATTAATCCACCCCCATAATTAATACGCCACCCCATAATTAATACACCCCCCCATAATTAATATACACCCCCCCATAATTAATACACCCCATAATTAATATACACCCCCTAATTAATATACACCCCTCATAATTAATATACACCCCCCATAATTAATTTAATAACATTACATAAATTACATAAACATAAATTAATAACATCACATAAATTACTACTCACGTTTTGATGATGCCTTCCCTCCGAGACCGACCACTGGATCCTTGCGCTGAATATCCGTGAAGGCGGACTGACGGCGGCGCTGCGTACGGCGTCATCACTCCGCGTACCGCAAGACTCCTCCCCCTTCTTAAAGGTGCTGCCACTGCGGCTGTGCGCAGCATAATGATTGGGGCCGGGGGGGTGACACATGACACTGGAAGTCATGGCACCCCCCTGGACAGTGGCACCCGGGGCGGGCCGCCGCCCCCGCCCCCCCCTTTGTACGCCACTGGCTATATGTGATCTGTAAGAATTTCTTGGTAGGTGGTGGTACATGTTAAAGTAACATCCACATGAATGCCAGGACACAAAGTTTCCCAGCAATATGTAACCAGTCATCATTGTTATTTTGCCTTTGTCAATGTCACTTGGGTCTTTTCGCTTGCCCACTTTTCCTGCTTCCAAATATGCTACAAACACATGAACTTCAAGAAATGACTGTTCATTTGCTGCCTAATAGATTCCACCCCTCGACAGGTGCCCTTGTAGTGATATAATCAATGTTATTCTTTTTTTTTTGGACTCCAGCACTTCTAAAGAAAGGTGTGTGGTCCTTAACCACACTAAGCAGCTATACAGAGTCAGCATGCAGGCGCTATGTTTTTGAGTATGATAATCACACTTAACCCATTACACTAAAGTATAAGTGGATCTACACTATCAATGGATAGGTGCACAATATGGAGTCTACGAGATTTAAGTGAAGCTCAAGCACCTTGAGTGGTATCCCCTAAACCACCTTTACAAGATACAAAAAAAAACATACATACATAAGGTGGAGCTTCTTGCATAAGCGTTTAGTATATATCTGTAATAATATAAATACAAAGCAGAAATAGCGCAATATTGTTGTAACAGAAGTAATCTATAAAAAGACATATATGGTGTCACTCACAAGTCAGGAGTCATAAACCACATATGACTCGGATGGTAAGCACTTGTGGACACTTTAAGGATGTCCAATCCTTTCTTATGGTGACTTTGCTGAAAACCTGATTCCTTTTGCTTTTCAAAGTGGTGATGGTTATTCAGTATTCCCAGTATTAGGTGTGTGTATATGGGATGCCACAGCAAAGTTTCCAAGAACAATTTGCTTTTATTGGTGATCCATAAAAAATATACACTCAAATGCAATGTTAAAAAAAAAAAATACAAATACAAATAAAATAAATAAATGTAAATACCAGATGCAAATGTCTCTGGGTGGCTAAATAGTCCAATAAATGTCCAAAATGCGTTTCGCCCTTAAGTGGGCTTCCTCAGTTGGCTGTATCACACTATATTCTGTATTTTTTTACCCCGAGATAATCAAATGAAAAAGTTACCACCATCACTACTACATCAACGAGGGGAGTGGTCGCCCAAAGACTGAGATAATCAGAGGAAACGGAAGGAAAATTTAAGTTGCCACCATAACTACTACATCAATGAGGGGAGTGGTCACCCAAAACGGACCAAGAAGCAATACATACCAGAGGTCATATAATTCTGGAAATTGTGAGTGTTAAATTAGCAATTCATGCACTTTAACCCCTTAAGGACACATGACATGTTTGACATGTCATGATTCCCTTTTATTCCAGAAGTTTGGTCCTTAAGGGGTTAAACTGTTTTAAAAGATATTACACAATTGCACTTTATGTCTTTGTTTAAAGGGATATACGCTTGATTGAATTTGCTCAAAAGAGAACATTGAGCTAAGTGTTTTTTTTATATATATATAGATAGATAAATATATATATATATCTATAGGCATGGAATGTTTGACACTAAATATATAGCGTTCAACTATTTTTTATAATCAATTTTATTCACCTGTCAGTGGCTGATCAGTGTATTTGCTGTGTAGCATGTCTACATTTATGTTAGACATGTTTGACAAATTTAAGTAATTACACATTTAAGTTTAACTTAAGCATATGTTATAATTGTACTTCATAATGGATTTAAGGTGATAAACATTATTAAATGATATGTATGATGAGATGTAAATTAAAGACACATTGAGTCTGCAGATTATGTGGACTTTTAAATTATGGGTTTCTTTTTATACTATGCTGTAAGTGGCTAACGCTAATTATTATGTTTTTGTTTTATTTTGCCCATCTCTGCATTATTCAAAACTTTTTATGACGTAGTGCAGTTGTATATTGATATTTAATTTATATAGAATATGGTTGCATAGACACTTCACCTTATGATTCACTCTCTCTTTCCTT